ACTTGTATATCTTCTCTGGATAAATGTCAATTCAAATTCTTTGCTCATATTAAAAATGATTACTTGGGTTTTTTATTGTTGAATTATAAGAGTTTTAAAATATATATATTCTGGATACTAAACCATTATCAGATGTATGATTTGCAAATATTTGTTTCCATTCCATAGATTGCCTCTTTACTTTTTTGGTGGTGTTCTTTGATGTACAACACTTTTAAATGTTGATGAAAGCCAATTTACCTACTTATTCTTTGATTGCTTCTGCTTGGGTGTTATAGCTAGGAAATCATTGCCTGATTCACTCCTATGTTTTCTTCTGATTTTATAGTTTTAGCTCTTACATTTAGGTCTTGGTACATTTTGAGTTAAGTTTTCAATATGTTATGAGGTAGGGGATCCACCTTCATTCTTTTGTATGTGAAAAACTAGTTGTCCCAGCACCATTTGTTGCAAAGACTATTCCTTCCCTAATATTTTGTCTTGGTAGCTCTTGATAGTCAACTGAAAATCAATTGACTGTAAGTGTTTGGGTTTATTTCTGGACTCTCAATTCTATTCCATTGATCTATATGTCTGTCCTTATGCCTGTCCCATATATTCTTGATTACTGTAGCTTTGTAGTAAGTTTTGAGATCAATAAGCATTAAGTTCTCCAACTTTTCTTTCCTCTTCAAGATTGTTTTGATTATTCAGGCTCCCTTGTAATTCCATATGAATTTTTTTAATAGAAATTTATTTATTTATTTTTGGCTGCGTTGGGTCTTCTTTGCTGCACGCGGGCTTTCTCTAGTTGCGGCGAGCGGGGGCTACTCTTCATTGCGGTGCACAGGCTTTTCATTGCATTGGCTTCTCTTGCTGCGGAGCACGGGCTCTAGGGGCACAGGCTTCAGTAGCTGTGGCTCACGGGCTCTAGAGCGCAGGCTCAGTAATTGTGGAGCGCATTCTTAGTTGCTCTGCAGCATGTGGGATCTTCCCGGACCAGGGCTCAAACCGTGTCCCCTGCATTGGCAGGCGTATTCTTAACCACTGCACCACCAGGGAAGTCCCCGATATGAATGTTAAGGTTAGGTTTTCCATTTCTGAAAAAAAAAAAAAAAAGGCCATTGGTATTTTGATAGGAATATACTGAATCTGTAGATTGCTTGGGGTAGTATTGCCATCTTTAACAATATTAAGCATTTCAATCTGTGAAAATGGAATGTCTTTTGTTTATTTAGATTTTTAATTTCCCTCAGCAATGTTTGGTCAGTCTTCATTTACAAGTCCTGTATATCTTTGGTTAAATTTATTTCTAAGTATTTTATTTTTTTGATGTTATTGTAATTGTCATTTTTTTCTTAATTTTCAAACTGTTCATTGCTAGCATGCAGAAATACAACTGTGTGTTGATCTTGTATCTTGTAACCTTGCTGAATTTGATTATTAGATCTCAAAGATTGTGTGTGGAGGGGACTTCCCTGGACTTCCCTGGTGGCACAGTGGTTAAGAATCCACCTGCCAATGCAGGGGACATGGGTTCAAGCCCTAGTCCGGGAAGATCCCACATGCCGAGGAGCAACTAAGCCTGTGCGCCACAACTACTGAGCCTGCGCTCTAGAGCCCGCGAGCCACAGCTACTGAAGCCTGTGCCCCTAGAGCCCGTGCTCCGCAGCAAGAGAAGCCACCGCAATGAGAGGCCCGCACACCGCAATGAAGAGTAGCCCCCGCTCGCCGCAACTAGAGAAAGCCCACATGCAGCAACGAAGACCCAACACGGCCAAAAATAAATAAATAAATTTATTTATTTTTTTAAAAAGATTGTGTGTGTGGATTCTTTAGGATTTTCTCTATTATAAGATCATGTCATCTGCAAACAGTGATAGTTTAATTTCTTCTTTTCCAATTTGGATGCCTTTTACTTCATTTTCCTGCCTAATTCTCCTGGCTCCACCCTCCAGTACAATATTGACTCAAAGTATGAGAGCAACCATCCTTGTCTTATTCATCATGTTGTGGAGGAAGCACCTAGTCTTTCTCCATTAGGTGTGTTGCCAGCGGTGGGTTTTTTGTATATTCCCTTTGTGAGGTTGAGGAAGTTCCCACTTATTCCTAACTTATTGTTTTTATCTTGAAATGGTGTTGGATTTTGTCAAATGTTTTTTCTGCATCTACTGAGATGATCATGTGGTTTTTGTTTCTTATTCTATTAATATGGTGTATAACATTAACTGGAATTGGAATGTCGTACGGACTATACATTCCTGGGATTAATCCCACTTGGTTGTGGTGTATAATGCTTTTATATGATGTTGATGGATGTGGTTGGTTAGTTTACTGTTGAGAATTTTTGCACCTATCTTCATTAGCGAGATTGGTCTGCAGCTTTCTTATGATATCTTTGGCTTTGGTTTTAGGGTAACAGTGACATCACAGGATGAGTTGGGAAGTCTTCCCTCTTCTTCTACGTTTGGAAGAGTTTTTAAGTGTTAGTGTTAACTCTACATGTTTGGTAGGATTCACCAGTGAAGCCATCTGTTCCAGGGCTTTTCCTTGTGGGACAATTTTTTGATTATGACTTCAATCTCTATTTTTTATAAGTCTATTCAAATATTCTATTCCTTTTTGAGTCAGTTTTGGTAGTTTATATCTTTATAGGAATTTGTCCATTTAATCTACCATGTGTAGATCTTTCTACTATAATTCGACACTGATAGATAAAAATGTTTGAAAAGTGAATAAATTCTGATTTATCTTGAATAAAGAGCCAAGTATTTGAATTTTTTAGCTTAAATACCCTAGAACAATCTAATGTCACCTTGATAATTAAGGATTTGAGGGTTAAATCTTCAAGAAAATGCAAATTAGACAATGTACTTACGTACCTAAATGGTATGCCCTAGGAGGAAGATTAGAAAATGGTAAACTATCGGGTTTATGAGTTCAAAGCAAAACTAGTCCAATAATGAATAAAACATTTTTTTCCTAAATAAATACTATAAAACTTTTTTTTTTTAACTGAAGGAATACCAAGGAAATGAGATTCTAGATTGAAACTTTCTCTGAGATCGGGGCAATTCATTTTCATTGAAGTAATTTTTTTTTTTCCTGTCTCTTTCTATAGAAAAGAAAAATAAATGAGTTATAAAGTAATCTCTCCTCAGAATCCAAATTTGTAGCAGTAATGTTAATAGTTCATATCAAAAAAAGTTTAAGACAACTGACATGGAAATAAATATTTTTAATGTAGAAATATTTTCATACATTCTATCTTTATCCACTTCAGGCAGATTATTTTACCCGAGTATATGTATCTTTGTTCTTTGGAGTGTACCTTACTGTTTTTTTTAAGTACCTTTTTTCTTTTTTTTTGGCTTTAAGAAAGGGTGTTCATTTGAGCCCATTTAGTTAAAAATTTCAGCATTTAAGTGAAATTGCCCTCGATTGACTTTTGTTCAATATGTAATTATTTAATATTGGAAAAACCTCCTGACTTTATCAGGGATTTTTTTACATAATCTCTTTTCTTATCTGGTATAGACAGGCATTTTTTCAGCATTAAATTGGAGAGAGGGAGAGAGAGATGATACCTTGGCTTAAATGACATTAAACAAGCAACAAATTTACCAGATTTTTGGTTGCACACTCTAATCTATAGGTATATGACTTGAGGTAGAAATTCATATGTTATTCTTGCCTGTGTGGGTTGTAGCATTCTGCATTCATATAATAGCAAGTTCAGTGTGGTCGAAGCATCATTGCAAATGGGAAAGTAAAGAGGTGGGGCTTTTTAGGTATCTTGACAAGGAGTTCTGATTTTTATTCTCTAGGAGATGGAGAACCATTGGTGGTTTGTTTTTTTTGTTGTTTTTTTTTTGCTGTACGCGGGCCTCTCACTGTTGTGGCCTCTCCTGTTGCGGAGCACAGGCTCCGGACGCGCAGGCTCAGCGGCCATGGCTCACAGGCCCAGCCGCTCTGCGGCATGTGGGATCTTCCCGGACCGGGGCACAAACCCGTGTCCCCTGCATCGGCAGGCGGACTCTCAACCACTGCGCCACCAGGGAAGCCCCATTGGTGGGTTTTGACCAGTGATGAGACATGTGGTCATCTGCAGGAAACATTACTCTTGGAACTGTGTGGAGGTAGATCTGATCAGGTAAATCTTGTTTTCAGAGGAGGACACTCAGTCTTGTGTTAGATTTTTTCAAAGTCTGTTACAAGGTCATTTTGCAAAAGCTTTCCATCCAGACCCAAAAGTTATTCCAATGAGAATCTAGAGCATAATCTAGGTCATGTTACATAAGCCAGGTTGGACTTTGAAAAATGGAATGTCCTATTTTTATACATTGCTAATAAAAACAACAAGCTATGACTGCTCTCTGAAAAGTCTAGGCAATACCACAGCGTTTTATTGTTTTAGTTTCTAGGACATTTATATGACAATTTTCTGTTTTTAGAATGGTTCATAGGAAGGGGCACTATTTTATCTTTTGTATTCTGTAATATAATAAAGAACTGTCTCTATTTGATATAACTTTTTCATTTCATCTTTATGACACTTCTTCCTTGGGTAGCTATTACTATCTTTATTTTAAAATCAAAGAAGCTGATGCTCAGTTAAGCAACTGGCCTTTATTACAGAAATAGCAGAATTGGAATTTGAAGCCAGGTCTCTCCAACTCCAAAGTCCTTTCTTTCCAATATACCACCCTTCCTCTTTAATAGGACTTCTCTAAACGCAATGCCATCTTTCCTCTGTACACCCCCTTCCCAACATTTCCTTCATGTTGTCTGAGGCACTGGGTGAGTTAAAAAAAATCTGCCTATCACTGGGTTAGGATAATTCAACTTAATTGTTTAGGTCATGTAGCCCCTTGTTTCCTCCACAGTAACAGGATAAAGAAAGCGACAGAGGAGTTCTGCTTTCCACTGTCTTACATCACCCAGACAATTGGCAGCCAGGAGTCAGGCAGCTGTCACACTCTTCAGATGTCTATTTAAAGTTCAAAGAGATGCTGGATAACAATAACAAAGAGGTAAGCGTGGCCCTGACCAGCCCACCCCACAACAGGAAGAATGGCTGAAAAAGGTAAGATTTAAGACCTCCAACTCTCTTGGCAAAAAAGGCTCCAGGCTCCCTGGTTTATTTTCTGTTTCACAATATTTTCTGTTTCTTAGCTATTCTGAAGAGTGTGGTATCTCTGCTAAAGGATCATTAACCGTATATGTTAGTGTGGCTGAAAAAATGCATTAGAGACGCAATTTATGGACCATGTCTATACGTTACGTGAATAATTTCGAAAGGATCAGATAAACAAAAGAGCTTAATTTGTTCATGCTTGTTTTGAAAGATGAGTTAGAGGCCAGTTATTCTCCAGTGTTGTACTGGATTTGAGGCGTTGTGGTGTGCTGGGCTAGCATTAAGGACATTTGAATTCTGTGTCAGATCTGCTACTAAATGGCCATGTGAGTTTGGGGGAAATCCCTCTACCTTTCTGAGTGCGTTTTCTGACTCTGAAACAAAAATAAATAAAATAGGCTTAGTATGCTTCACATCTGAATTTCTTTTTTTCTGTTTTTTAAATGTTTTTTATTTTTAAGAAAAATGATTGACTGTAATAAATGATAAAATGGGCTGAATATATATATATAGTGTCCAAGTAAGTTTTCAAATGCCTATGGGAATTGATGCTTTTAATCCTGACAACAATCTCATGAGATATGAAGTGTTATCATCATTCCCGTTTTATAGATAAGGAAACTGAGGCACAGCAAATTTAGTAACTTGCTTGAGGTCACATATAAGAGCGTGGTGGCACCAGGTTTTAAACCCGGAGAGAAGAATTTTGGAATTACTGTTCATATTTAAAAAGAGGTTTTGTGCTTATTTGTGTTACTAGTGTGACGTATGCAGAGTATGTTGTGTTCCTAAATATTCCTATTTCAAACCAATGCTACAGATTATAATAAAACTTAAAACACTACTGTTAACAGAACACAAATGCAGGTATACTTTGAGTATTTAAATGCACAGTCAATTGTATTGTTTTACAAAGAATAATAAGTAATGAGATACACTTTTAGTGCTTTATTATATGTAAATTTCAGAACTGTATTAAAATATGCTTGTATAAAATACTTAAAAGTTAATTCCAATATTTTAATTGAGCATTTATAAGTTCTTTGAAATTGGGAAAAATACTAAATCAATATAGGAGTTCAAGAAATTACTACGTACTTCCACTGTAATGCTACCTTAATTCATAAAAAGGCTTTCATCCAAATGAGAGTAAAGAACATATCATAAAGTTTCCTTTATCCTTAAAGCAATACCACATGGCAGGTAACGAGAAAGAAAGGGTTTTTTTCATTTAGAGGTTAACGCTTTGTTCAAGGTCACAGTGAGATGGACAAGCAAGGAAAGCTGCTGAACTTGTGAGAGTTGAGAGACTCCAAAACTTTTGGAAAAATAGATTTAAACTATAAAAATCCATTTTAATTTCAGAATATTTGCTGTTATGAGTGTCTTCTAATTTTAGAAGTGTCTCATTTCCTGATGATTTTAATAGCACTTAAAAAATTTCACTTTTACAGTGATGGAAATTGTAATAGGAATGCAATTGCTAAGAATATGCATTTTCTTTGTTAGCTAATGGCATAAAATCTGTGTTTTTCAATTAGGAACATATCTGAGGCTTTAACACAGGGACATTAATTCTGTACTATGTGTTTCTGTGCTGTTTTGAATCATTTTGTGTGGTGTGTTGGTTGTAACAAGATTGAGATGCAGTGAATATTAAAAAAAGATACTTTTATAAGTTGCTGTTTTACAGGTAAGGGTACAAATAGGAGACACAAGAGGAATTATTATACTTTTGTCTTTTACGCGTGTGTTGGATCAGTGTAGGTTGCCGTATTGAGCCAGTTAAAAAAATAGAATATCTTTTCTCAATGATTACATAAGGTATAATGCTTTCCTTTTCCTATGATCAAGGCAGCTATCAAGTCTAAGAAGGATTTTCAACACCTTTCCCTATGTTATGACTAGTTTAGTAAGAATTACCTCAGAGTCACTTTCCAGTGTTTCTATGTAAACAGCTGGTCTCTGTGTTATTGAACAAATGCATGAATCTGTTCTGTATATACTACACCCACACCCACACAGTAATTAGAGTTTACAAAGCCTTTGTAAACACGTGATGCCATTTGATCCTCACAACAACTCCAGGAGGTGTATATCACAAGTTTCATTCTCTGTATCTTACAAATAGGGAAGTTCAAGCTCAGGATTGTCCAAGGTCACATAACTGTAAAAGGAAGGCCTATGGTTTGAACACAGGTCTTCTATTCCAAATACCCAGCTGAGTCACAAGTCCCTTTGTAGAAAAGAAAATAATAATCTTGTATGGATGTGATTAGAGAGTGTATTTTTCCCTTGATATTATACCAGACTTCCTCTTATCCTTTTGATTCAGAAGATTTAATACCAACATGACCTACCTGATCTGCTTCCTCTTATTTTTTCCAGCAGCGGCTACATTTTCACACCTTCTGGTCCCTATTCTTCTCTTGATTGGCTGGATTGTGGGCTGCATCGTAATGGTTTATGTTGTCTTCTCTTAGAAAGGTAAAGTTTTCAATAATTAAATATGTTTCTTCACAAAGAATACACATTACTCCAGAAATAATCTTTTCTGTTTTACTAATGGAACATTTTATCGTGCAGGCAAGAAGACTTCAGGTTGACATCATTTAGAAGAATTAAAAAAGCACGAAATGACAGATTATTAAATGTTTCTCATGTAAATAACTGCAATGTTTGACATCAGTTTATAAAACTTGCATTTGTAAACTGGTACTTCAGTGGACATAAGAATCTCTTCAGAAACATGTTTAAAATTCTGGGTACAAATAATAACTATAAGAAAATATAGATGAATTTCTCTACAACCTGGGAGTAGGAAAAATATTCCTACTTAATATGTATAAGCAATAGGAAAAAGTTTGGTAAATTAAATTACATTAAATTTTTTGGCCACCCCTCAAAAAACAGAAAAACAGAAAAAATGAGCTAGAGATAAGAAGAGACAGTTCATAGAAAACGAAAATGTGAATGTAAACTTGACCCTTAACCTCTTACAATAAGAGAACTGTAAATAACACCGCTTTGAAGAACCATTACTCACCTGTCAGATGGGAGAAAATGAAGATATACCAATATATGTCTTGGTAAGGCTGTGGGGAAATAAGCACTCTCATATACTGTCTTTAGAAATTCAAAATGGTACAACATTTTTAGGGGTGTTCAGCAATCAAAATACCAAAATTACATATGTATTTAACTTTTGACCCAGCTATCCCTCTTCTAAGAATATTGATATTTCCACAGGTACACTGCTAAAAATACAAAATGGTATATGCACAAGTCTATTCATTATGGCATAATCTGTTAGAATGAAACCCTGGAAAAAGCCAAATATCTATTAATAGAAGACTAACAAACTGTAGTCTATCTACATAATGTGGCACTTAAGCAGCTGTAAAAAGGAATGAATGAAGGGGGTTCTCTATATGCTGATGTGATGTTATCTCCAGGGCAAAGTATTTGGTGAAAAAAACAGGTACAGAACAATGTATGCTACCTTTTGTGTAAAAAATGAGGGGTTATACCAATATGCACACATACCTGCTTATACTAAAATACTGGAACAGAGGAGCCAAAAATGGCTAGATATCTCTGAGTGTCCCTTGTTTTCGAATCAAGTAAATATCTTATAAATTAAAAGAACAAAGAAAAAGAAAAACATAATCCTCAAATTTAAAGCAAATTGAAACAAATCTAATAGTACATCAAATTGGTGGAGGACCTGTTAAAACACAGGTTGCTGGGTCCCACTCTCAGAGTTTCTGATTCAGCGATCTGGTGTGGGGGGCCTGAGAATTTCATTTCTAACAAGTTTTCAGGTAATGTTGATGCTGCTTGTCCAGAATCCATAATTTGAGAACTACTGCTCTAGAAGTGCTATGGTCTGAATGTTTGTGTCCTCTCAAAATTCATACATTGAAATCCTAACCCCCCAACTTCGATGGTATTGGGTGTTAGGGTTGGGATTGGGAGGTGATTAGATCATGAGTATGGAGTCCTCATGAATGGGATTAACACCCTTATAAAAGAGGCCCAGAGAGCTCTCTAGCCCTTTCACCTTGTGAGGACACAATGAGAAGTTTGCAACCTTAGAAGAGGGCCTCACTTGAACCTGGCCTTGCTGGCACCCTGATCTTGGACGTCCAGCCTCCAGACTGTGAGCAAAAAACATTTGCTGTTTATAAGCTACCCACCCGTCAGTGTTGTTTTGAAATAGCAGCCCAAGTGGACCAAGACAAGAAGGGACCCAGTTTCTTCCTGGTAATTATAGCATCCTTTTTTATTCAATTAATTTTCCTACTGAAATTAATCTCATCAAAACAATTAGAGAAAACTTTGGCTTTATTCACTGATTCTTATCTTTTAAACTTGGTTAAACATTTCAAAAAAGCTTTTTAAAAACTTCTGTTTAAAGAAATATTTATAAAATGCTAACATAAAATGTGTATAAAATTAGGCTCGACTATTTTCATTAACAACTTGACCGAGTTTTAGTTTTCTCCAGACTTGAGAAGAATGAACTCACCTTGAATCAGAGGGCTACTGGATACGGCTCCTGCAGTGTTGTGAAAGCTGATTGTTAACTTTTCAGGAATTTTGAAAGTTAGGTTACATCTCATTGGCAGCTGGAAACTGGCCACATGGGAGTATTTACATAACAGCAATCAACAAGTACTATAAATCAGGGCTTCCTCCCAGTGGACAGCCAGTTCTTAAGTACACCCCTGACCTGAATCCCCTAGACTTCCCTGATGCTTATATGGTTTGCGAGGGCTTCAAGACCATCTATTATTTTTTTTTCCCTTCTTCACATTCTGTTTGAGTTAATTAAAAATATGGTCTTTCTATTCACTTGACCTCTTTCTGTGCTATAGACTTTAATGAGAAACCCATGAAAGCAGTAGACTTTCTCAGAATACATACATTCAGACAAAACTGTAGATGTTATTTCAAGATGCTATTTCAATGGATTTCCTGAAATCCATTAAAAGACTCCCTAGGTAAAGTAGCCCCTGGGCTGTCACCAACTTTCTAAAGGTTTTAGGCTACTTTACAGCTGGGCTCTGGTTTCCCTTGGGGTTAAGGACATCAACTCATATTTTAGCTTTCTTCCTGGCTAGAGACTGGGTTTTTCTGTACATCTTTCTGCCGACACCATTCCTGCATCACCTGTCATCTTTCTTGCATTTGTATACCACAGAGTCCTGCCATTTGGTTAGAAAGTTATAAAACAAAGTTGTGGCAACCTATGTTTTACGTCAGAACAACTTTACTTTCTTTAGTCTGGAGTCTTTTTCTCCACACGTACTGGTCCTTTTCTTTAGGCCTTCGAAGCTATAGGTTATCTCATTTCTTGTTCAAATGTGTGCACAACTTTTCCCTGGAACACAAAAAGCTTCAGCATTCCCATAAATCTTAATTTTCTATCTATCTTTGACAAAGACTTTCTTATTTCAAGGGCTCAATATTCTTTTCCTTAGTACTTTAAAGCAGACTGTAATGTTGTTTTTAAGCAGCAGTAGAAATGAATTTCCCTATAATAAGTATTTTAATTCCATGTTTACACATCCAACCTGATCATTTTCTCAGAGAGAACAAAGAAAGCTTAGTGCAGTGAAAAGACCAAAAGTTTTGGAAGTCAGATTGTTGTATTCTAACTTGGGAGTCCTTTGAGGAGTTAATTAATCTCTCTAACCTTAGTTTCTCAACTATAAAAGAAGAAGAATATTTTCATGGGATTGTTGTGAGGACTGCAGTGTTTTCTAAACCTGCCTGAACTGAAACAATTGAGTCATTTGTTAAAAAGACAGATTCTCAAGCTCCTGCTCTGGAGAGTTCATTTCATTAGGTCTAGAGAAGGCCTATTATGAAATCAATTCCCCAGGTGATTTTTAGTATCACAGAAGTTTGGAAACACACCTATCATATATGTGTGTGTGTATGTAGGCATTACTCCCTGGTACATGAGACCCTGATCAATGACAGCTTATATCAGTAAATCCAAACCACTTTTCTGTTTATAGCTGCAACAAAAAATTAGCACTTTATTATATTAGCTTATATTACATTATACTTTTTAATTAAATGAAGTATAATGATACATATTATTTGTCCACTAATATTTTCATATATGTGAGTTTTTTCCTCTGTTAAATTGAAGCCCTTTATGAGTGAATCTATTTCTCATCTCTCCAACTCATAGTACAAAACAGACAACTAACAAATATGTAGCAAATGGGTAATTATTTCCCCCTTACAATATTCTTGAATGCACAATGTTGATGTTCTAACTTTGAACTTTCAAAATGTCGTTGGAGCAATGTAAGCTGGATTGGAATTCTCAAAGAAGTGATTACTGATCTGTGAGCAATAGGATTAGGTAGGTGATGACATACAGATTTCACAAGGCATAGAATCTTATATGCTTTTAAATTTCCAAAACCTTCAGCTTACATTCTATCAAACTGCAGCTATAACTATTTGAGAAGAAGAGTTTAATGAGTTAACTGTTTCTTAAAATTTTCTGATTGCATAATGCTCGGCCTTACATCATCACCAACCCTCACTCTGTGCCCCTCCCCCTCAAGGCATGTATTGATGTCAGAGCTGAGAATACTACTTTCTCTATACTGTAATTAGGACATAAAAACCTCTCAAAGAAAGCTTTTTTATTACTAGCCATGTCTGGAATAAGAGGTAAATTCCAATGAGTTTTGAAATATCTAAGGAAACTCCTCATGAGCAACCAAGCCTGGTAGAGCTGAGGAAATTTACTAGAGAATAGAAGGTTAGAGGTGAGATCCCTGTGCACAACCCACAGTAATGTTTCCATCTACAGTTGGCCCTCTGTGACCACGAGTTCTGCATTGTGGATACAACAAACTGCAAATCTAAAATATTTGGAAAAATTCCAGAAAGTTCCAAAAAGCAAAAATTGAATTTGCTACATGCCAGCAACTATTTACATAGATTTACATTGTATTTACAACTATTTGCATTGCATTTATATTGTATTAGGTATTATAAGGAACATAGAAATGATTTAAAGTGGATTAAAAACTTAAATGTAAGACTAGATACTATAAAACTCTTAGAGGAAAACATAGGCAGGACACTCTTTGGCATAAATTGCAGCAATATCTTTTTGGATCTGTCTCCTAGAGTAATAGAAATAAAAACAAAAATAAACAAATGGGACCTAATTGAACTTAAAAGCTTTTACACAGCAAAGGAAACCATAAACAAAATGAAAAGACAACCTACAGAATGGGAGAAAATATTTACAAACTGTGTGACCAACAAGGGATTAATCTCCAAAATATACAAACAGCTCATGCAACTCAATATCGAAAAAGAGATAACCTAATCAAAAAATGGGCAGAATATCTAAATAGACATTTCTCCAGAGAAGATAGACAGATGGCCAAGAGGCACATGAAAAGATGCTCAACATCACAAATTATTAGAGAAATGCAAATCAAAACTACAATGGGGTATCACCTCACACTGGTCAGAATGACCATCATCAAAAAATCTATAAACAGTAAATGCTGGAAAGGGTGTAGAGAAAAAGGAACCTTCCTACTCTGTTGGTGGGAACGTAAATTGGTACAGGCACTATGGAGAACAGTATGGAGGTTCCTTAAAAAACTAAAAATAGAACTA